TATATATATATATATATAACTGAACATGAACCATTCAGACAAAACATCACTGCAGAACGTCAGACCCACATCAGCAACTGTTTCAGTCAGTTAAGATAAAGAAAAAATGTGTGCAGTGAAATATTCACTGAGATTGAGACTTTCAGTCAGTCAGTTTAAGAGTGAATGACATGGCCGGCTGGGGGAGCAACATCACAGACCAACAGGGCCTGCACACACTGAAGCATCTCAGCTTATGTTGTCTTATTGCTCATCTGAGGTGGTATTTAAATGACGCCAACTAAAACCAGATGATTTATTTTCTCTTACTTCAGGATACATTATATTCTCATGTATGAAACCTTGGAACTGATGGAGGTTGTACTCTCTTTATCTTAACTGACTGAAACAGTTGCTGACGTGGGTCTGACGTTCTGCAGTGATGTTTTGTCTGAATGGTTCATGTTCAGTCTTGTTCACTGACGTGATGAGATTTCTCAGAAAGAGTTCATGCCGGTAGAAGATGAAAACTTCTCAGGTCCTCTGACATCTTGAAGAGTGACTCCTCTGAGATGCTCAGACTCATGGCTTCTGCAGAGAAATAGGTGAGAATAAACTCATGATATCAAACTAAGTAGGTAGGAGAGAGAGAGAGGCTGGAAGGACTCACATTGTAGGATTTCTGCCTGTTAAAGAAGCAGCACAAACTTAATTTGGAACTTAATGCAAAGCTTTGAACGATTGATTAGTTTTCTGCAGATCTGTGTTTATTCCTGATGTATGAAGCACAGCACTGAGTGCAGTTTTTATCGACTGATCAGTGGTTTTAACTGAAGGATGAGCATTTGGTGGCGATGGAGTGACCGTGTGAGGGGATGATGGGACTTTGCTTTGCACATGCTTTGTTTGTTAAATGGGGATTTTTACATCCAGATCTGTTGAGCTTTGTAGATATGAAAAAGTTGGACCAACAGTAATCTGGGGTTTGATATTTCTTATTTGCTAATTTGATTAATTATTACTTCTAATTTGCATTAACCTAAGGTAAATTTCAAATGTAAAGATGTTTTAAACATCGTTCTAGTTTCTTCTCTGCTGCTTTTGGCGTGGACACTTTGTGATCACATACTTGTAATGGTTATATCTCCACTCCACCATTTTTGCACATGAACTAATGTCAGCTGATTGTAGACGAATGTGCAGGAAAACAAGACATTTATTTTTTGTTGTTGTTGTGTAGATAACTGAAGGCCATTTGTAATGCAAATAATGGCATAATTGTGATTATAATGCAATCAGTGAGTTTAATAGAACATTACATTAATGACAAACAGAAAAAATGTAATGTGATTACAGTAACTTTACACTCAGCAAAAACCAGTAAACGCAGAGTTTCTTCATGTTCTGCATCTCTGCACCTGCACCTATGTGTGTGTGCTTTTTGCCAACTACATCAAAGTCTTACATTCAGGACATGTTCAGACAAGAATCACTGCTGTGTGAGAACAAGTTTTCACATCTGTGCATTTAACTTTTCAAAACTGGAGGTATTGGCTTTGTTTTTTTTTATTGTATTTTATTCTATGTTAGTCTAGTGCATTTAACACATTCTATCACTGCAATACTTTCTTATATCTACTGGACTAAGCTTAAAAATACATAATTGTTATTTCAGATTTATGCACCATGTGGTTTAAAAGCTTTCAGCACAAATTTCTCAGGAATTTATAGATAAAGATAAATTCTTAGCACAAATATCAGTCTGCATTCAATGAGAAACATTTATTGCTTTCTTAGGGAGACATAAGAAATTCTGTCAGAATGTGATTGATTTGTCATTAAAACACACCCTTTCTTTTAATCATTTATGCTGAATAGAGTTAATACACCTGCACTGAAATTAAAGCTTTACTAAAGTCACAGGACCAATAATATTTCTATTAAAGTTGTTGTCCTCATATGGGTTAAAGTATAGTTGTTGATATGAAGTTCAAGTCTAGTAAAGTAAAAATCTAAGAGGAACAATTTGATGTTAAGCTCCTTTACTTTACTATCTAGGCCTTTATTGTGAAACACTTCCAGGAACATAATGTGAATAAATGTAATCCATGAGGTCGAATAGAGATTATCTCTGGGTGACAACATTTACTTATTTTACCAGAGAAGAAGAGAAAGAGACAAACTTCACATAGAGGAAGATGAATATTAGAAGAAAAACCCTCTAAATAACAAAAAGGTCTTGAAACTGTGGAGGTTAATGAATTTAAAGGTTCATTAACCTGTACTAATGATGAAGGTCTTTCATCAGGAGGGACACACACACAGTCTCACACTGGATCTGTTTTCACTGCTTTCACTTATCATACAGATTTTAATTTGTAGACTACAGTTTGGTCTCTTCCAGTCCGTGATGTGTTTGATTCACCTACAGTCACCCTGTAAAAACAATATGTTTCTGCTTGTGTCCGCAGAGTCTAACTGACCAGAGTTTGATTCACAATCCAAAGCAAAAGGTCAGAGGTCAAGCTGCTCATCAGACTGTCCAGAGGAAAACTAGTCATAGTCAGTTTTTAGTTTGAAGGAAACTTCACAAAATGTCCTTGGCTCCCAAAAAAAGAGGAAGCAAAGACCTGCCTCCTAGTTTGTCTGACTTCATGGGCAAACGTGTTAACGATGCATCTTACATCCAGCAGTTTGACAGCAGAAATCCAACACTGGGAGAAAGTTTAAGAATGTTCTTGAGGATGTCTAAAGATGTAAAAGAAATACAGAAGGCCACAGATGTACAAAGGACAGCAGGAGGACTGGGGGAGCAGGAGGCCGTTCATTCACTGGAGGACTGACTTCAGCTTTTGGATTTTAGCTGCTGTTGCAGGTGGAAGTGCTGTTGTGTAGGAGTTCTAACTACAAAAATATAAGTGCTGAATGTGACCAATCAGCTACTAGCTCTCATTGCTGGAATCTTCAGAGTCACTCCTGAAGAGCATAAAAAGGTATGATGTTGCCATCTAAGTCAGCTGAACAGAGTCAAATGAGACAAAGAACAAACTCAGAAATTTTTCCTACAATTAAAGAGAATGAAAATAAAACCCCTTCCTGTTCCTCCACCCTGTGAGCCTGTACTGTTCACACTAACTAAGAAATGAAGTATGTGAATAAAGGATCATCAGACTGTGAACTGGACTGTATGACGTGTTCCCTTAAAGTCATTTAAAAAGCAAACAGAGAATAGTCATGCTCTGTAGAAATATATTATGAACCAGAATGGAAACTTTACAGCGACAATGGAAATTTGGAGAAATATGACTGGAAAATAAACCAGGGGAACTCTAATCTCTAATCACATCTCAGTCAGAGGAGACACCCGACTGGCCTGAGGACTGCCACTGCTTCCCTTGTACAGCTTCTTGATTCCTCAGAAGGAACATTTCAGAGCCCAACATAAAGATATTCAATAATCTGACTCAAGGAGACTGAAAAGTGTTTTCTTATTGGTTGTAATAGCTGTGTTCCACCACAGGGTGCAGCTCTGTATAGTAAAGCACATTTCCACTGTTTTTCTTAAAGTTTCTGTTCCATGTGGTATCATCTCTAGTGATTACCTGTTTCTGTTCATGTTCCTTTTATCTGGCTTAATAAATGGCACGCCCTTGGTTAGAGTACAGCTTTGTCTCATGTAGTCTGCAGCTGCAGATTGTGGGTTGCAGATAGAGAATAATTTCAGTTCTGGGATTTTATTTAATCTGATTAAACAGATTTTTAGGTGAAATAAATCTTTTTAAATCCTTAAAGCTGGATATAGATGTGTTTTTAAATTTTGTAAGAGTGTTTTATTCTAAGGTTTATTATAATGTCTTAGTTAAAGTTAATAGTTTATTATTAAATTACATAAATTACTGACATCTGCGAAGTTCAGCTACATGCTTAGCTTTTGGCTTTCAGAGATGGACATAAAAGACTGTAAAGCGTTAAATTTAGGGTTTGTTGGGTTTTTTTTATTGAGGAGTCAGAACAGAATATAGAGAAATTGAACAAATCAAGTCCAACGTGAAAGAATCCAAATGTTTCCACTCGGTCTGAGTCATCAGAAATATTTCAAGCAGTCATTCAGAGCATGAACACACATGAAGAATCCAAGGTATCAATCAAGTGAAAGAAGATCAGATTTCAGGACTGGACTTTTCTCTTTTTCCCATATGCTGTTAGTTTGTCAAAAATGTTTGGCCCTGATTTGTTTGCTTCAGCCACTCTCTTTTTCATCTCCTCCAGTTTAATGACTTTCTCTGAGTCTCCTTCACCCTCCTCCTCCTTAATCTTCTCAATCATCAAGAGTGGACGCTGAATCAGTTTTCAGAGCGATCTGCTCCAGTCTGACAAGATGCTGGTAGGACTCATCCAGTAACTGTGACTTCTCTGCTGTTAGTTTGTTCATTTCCTCTTCAAGATTTTCAAAAAGACTTTGCTTGTTCTGACCTTTAGTTTTATTAATTTCATATTTGTTTTTCATGTCTTCATTGGTCTTCTTAACGTACCTTGTCTTGGTCTCATAGATCCACTTTTCTTTCACATGAGCTGATACAGGACACTTCCTGGTACATGCAGTGCAGCGGCCATTTTTCATGACCTCACAGCTTCCAGCAGACCAGGCCACTGTGCATCCAGGATGGTGACAGTTCTCCTCACAGACTGTACAGCACACAGCTCCTTCATAAAAACCTAAGCCCCACCACCCACCATCAATGGATTTTTTGTCTTTGTAGTACTCTGGAACTTCTACAGTAAACTTTTCATTATTCTCCATCTCCTTTCTATGTAGTTTCAGAGCTTCTTTTGTCTCTGTGATTTCTTTCTGTTTTTCCTCCGTGAACTTGATTCTCTCCTGCAGGTTTTGGATGCATGCTTTCAGTCTGATTTGTGAATTCAACACTTCGACCATTGTCTTCAGTTTCTGAGGAGGAGTTTTTTCCAGGAAGACTTTGAATTGATTCATTCCCCTCTCTGTCACTCTCCATGCTGTGTCCAAACCAAACTCATTATCCTCTGTTATTGCTGTGTTCAAGCAGTTATTAAACAGAAAGTGAGCAGGCTGGTTCTTCTCATTTATGGCACATTTAATGTTTGCTGCTTGAAGAGCCTCAAGAACATTTTTAGCTGGCATTCCATCTGAGTGTGTGATCAGAGCTTCGATGTTTTTCTCCACATCTTTTCCAAACAGAGACATCACTGAATCAAAGATGTACTTCTGTCGGTCACTCACTCGATTCAAAGCTGCCTTCATCACCAGACCCACTGCATGAACTTCATGAACTCCATCCTCTGCTCGAAATAATTCAAATAACCTTGTAATGACGATGTCATCTTTTTCAGTCCCTCTGGTGTCTCCATATCCAGGAGTATCGATGACGGTCAGAGAGTAGGGCAGAGTTTTATCTTCAAAACCAAAGATCTCGTACACGATCACATCTGAAGTCTGACTTTCTGCCTGACTTCTCTTCTCATCCTCTACGATCTGAAACCAGACTTTATCGTCACACTTCACTCCCATGGTGTAGTTGACCATAGAGTTGATCAGAGTAGATTTTCCTGCTCCTGTTTCACCCACAAGTAAGATGGTTTTATTTGCCTTGTTCATGTTTTTTTCACCGACAGTCTTTCTAGTCAGAGAACCGATCTTAGTTTCCTTTGGTCTCAGCTGGTAGACAGCAGGAGGTCCTGAACGGATCTGAACACTTTTGGAGATGATGTCTTTGTATTTGGGGGAGATGTTACTGATCCTAAAAGCAAAAGTAAAACATTCCTTATTTCACATTTACACTTTTAATAGATAATATCAGTAACATTTCTATCTGCATTCAGAGTCCAAGATTATGGAGATTCCATTTTGAGTCTTTGTTTACCACTAAAGTTTAAAACTTAGCATTTTATCTTTTAATGGTTCATAGACGTTGTTCTAATCCCTAAAATTAACAGATACCTGGAGTATTTTTTTCCTGGCTTCTAAAGTACAAACTAACTATTTTACCAAGAACGAGGATCTATAAGAGGAGAGCTGCCATGAACAGGTGTGGCTGTTGATTGCACTTAACTACAAGGCTGCGAGTGTGTTGCATCATCAAAGGTTAGTGTAATCAGCATCTGGATGTAGGCAGTTAGAGTTAAATTTGTTTCTGAATCACCTCCAAGGGTAATACTCTGTTTGTAACTAGAATCTAACAACTCCCGATGAGTGTCTCTGTCAGGGTTCTTCTGAAAACACAATGATCAAGTTGTTCCGTACGTAGACCCGACTGCTCAGCTGATTTTACATCAGGACTTATCTCACCTACTCCTGCTCGTATCCAGTATAAGAAACAGTCAGAACTAAAACAAGGCTTTTATGATTTCATTGATTTACATTAATGTACTAAGATCATGTTCAATGGACAAAATAATCTCTTTACAAAATGTGTTCAGAGTTTGTTTGAAATTAAAGTTACAGCATGAACTTAGACAAAAAGGTTTTTAAAACACGAGAACAAATAGTAATAAAGATTTATATTATTAAATGTGACGTGGAATAAAGAATATGTTGTTTACTACATAAATAAATAATAATTTAAAAGTAAGGAAATACATATAAAGCATATCAAGCATATCATTAAATATTTGTTTATTTATTTATACTTAATCACAGTTTTTCATTTGTTTGTGGTGAAATCTACGCATGAATATCACAAGAAGAAACAAACCTTAATGAACCTCAGTCTGTTAACTGTCAGAAATATGACTCAGGGATGGACCAAAGTTAATAAAATGCAGGAGTGGAAAGAAGTGGAAGTGGATAATAAAGTCGGCCAGCAGCCTGAGCCTCAGACTGAGGGGAGTGTTTTCTGTTTGCTGATGTTTTCTTTTTTTTTATTGCTAAAATGCATTTGTGTTATTAAGTGTTTTACACAGAAGCAGAAAAAATAGTAAAGCATGTTATTATATTTTCATTAAAATGCCAGATTGCAGTTATTTAGTTGCAGAACCCTGGAGAACAGATCCTGAAGACAAAGAAATTACAAATGGGTGGCTGTAGCTCAGGAGGTAGAGCAGGAAGGTGATCGGAAGGTTGGTGGCTTGATCCCTGGCTTTCTCTAGTCTGTATGACAAATATTCTTGGGCATGATATTAACCCCAAGTTGCTCTCCGATGGATCCATCTGATCTGTTTGTGAATTGTAATAAGCACTTAAAAGCATAGAGGACAGTCCTGGTGTGAATGGGTGAATATGGCATTACGTATAGAGTGCTTTGAGTAGCAGAGGGTAGAAAAGCGCTATATAAGAATAATTCCTTTCTTGAACAGAAAAACTTCATTTTAGTGGTTGAATTTTGCACTTGATTAATTTCTGAAATGATAAATTTGTTTGATATTCCTGTTCAAAATAGTAAAATGCTGAGAACTCACTAAAAAGCAGAGTCCACATTAAAACATTTCATGAAGCTAAACGGCCTTTTTGTTTTTATGACAGCTGGTCTAATGAATTTGCAAAGCACTGCATATCATCTACCTCTGAAAATCAGTGGAATTCAAAATTCACTAGAGCATAAAGAAGGGATAGAAACTGTGTGTGTATAAGAGAGAGGACACCATCATAAACATGAAGCTGGAGTAAAATCTTAACTGTTCGGTGTCATACTTACGTTGCCATGTTGATGAATGAGATCTACACAGTCAGGTCACAGTCGGCTCTCTAGTTTACAAAAACAGATATATACTATTTTTTCTGCTTCTGTGTAAAACAGTTAATAACATAAAGAAGAACAGAATTCACCTGCTTGTTGCATACAATGCTACTACTGCACATTCACCTAATGTATATAATATATAATGTTCTTCTTCTCTCCCCCTTTTGCACAAGTCGAGGTGCGGGTCAGGTTATATTTCACTGCTAGTTCTACTTGTATAATGTGCATGTGACGAATAAAGAATCTTGAATCTTGAATATATGAATTGAAATATGCAGATTTTTAAATAGGTTAAAACATTTGCGAGATTTTAATGGCATGAATCTGCATAACAGAACGATGTACCTGCTGCCTTATTGGTAAATCTGCGCTGTCACATTCATTCATGATTGGAATTAAATTAGGAGAATAAATGAAATTAGGCTTTTCTTGTCTTTCTCAATTAAATAATCTCTCTCTTTAATTC